CCCCCCCCCCCCCCCCCCCCCCCCCCCCCCCCCCCCCCCCCCCCCCCCCCCCCCCCCTTACAGGAACTTGGCCAATAATAATGTTGCGTAAAAAAGCCGCTTATGAGCATCATAAAGTATCTGTATGTCAGATCAACCTAAACTACCCAAGACCTTCTCTCTGCTAAACAAATGATAGGCTCCAGCAACTAAAAGAGCAGCTCTATATTGTAATTGCAGTGTAGGCTGTAGAATCGTTTTGATTGTGCATTAATATATCACATCTGCATAGCTCAGTACCAGAGCTCCGTATGGACTGGACTCAGATTTTTTGCATTTCATGAACTCGGACTAGACTGGACTCAAACTTTCAAGACCATGGACTCGTCTGGACTGGAAAAATTTTGGATGGGCTTGAATCTAGGAAAAATCGGTAAACTACAAATTGTTTTTGTTTTATTAAAGGCGATTCTAGAATACTAATAGAGAAGGGAAAGAAATAACAGAATAAAAGTAAATTCTAAAAATGGCTCGAGAAGAATTAGAGATACACCCAGAAGGATGTATTAGTCAAAGAACTAAAATAAAAATGAAATAACCCATATCTCTCATTCTCTAGTCCTTTTTACAGTTCACTTTTATCCGTCATTTCTTTTCCTTGTCCGTTAGTATCATCGTGTGTTCCTTTTAGTTTAACTACCATCATGCGGACTATTTCATATGTTTGTTTATATGTACAAGTTTCGTGTATAAATAACATCTCTCTTTATAGCTCTCTGTTTATGCTCTGCATTTTTCTGATGATGAATTAGACTGTTCGAAAGCTTAAAAACGAAGATGGAAAGTAAATATTAAAAATACACTATATAAGAGGTGGTCCGGAAGTCCTGTCTCATTTAATATTTTCTCAAAATTTTTCCTGTCACAAACAAAGATTTTAGTAAAAGTAAAAAAAAGAGGGGAACGTTTGATTTCTTCGCCTTGGCACAGGAAACGAAAGGGGCTGTTCGACTCTCTCTGTTCGGATGAAACAGAAAAACCATTTTACTTCAACATAAACCAGATCTAAAGTCATAATATGTGATTTGGACCAAATCACACAAATTTGCCCAAGTGTCACAAAACTGCGGTTAGAAAAAATGATGATTTGGGGCAAAATCCCTAAAAGAAAAAAAACCTCCCGCGATCGCTGGAGCTTATGAAGAGTCTTAAATATAGCCAGTTGATAGAGCTTTTCGAGAACTACAAAAAAATTTTCTTTTTTCATATCGCAAAATATAAGTGACTGATATTGAATAATCTGTTTTTTCGGTTTAAAAGTAATTGATATTGAAGCTTTCCCGTATTTCCTTTATATTTTTTTATTCTTATAGTATACAAGAAAGTGTTCAATATGTTTTGTGCAGAGAACTGAGTGAGGCTTCTTTTAAAAAAGATTGAGACTTGCGATCAACCTTGACTCAGATATTAAGAAAATACTGAATGAGACAGGACTTCTGGCCATCCTTTATGTAATTTTTAATACTTATTTTTTATTAGAGCATACAGAAGTTTGCAAAGTCCATTGGACTATTTACTCAATCTAATAGACTCGAACTGGACTGGACTGCTTTTCTAGAGTCCACGGACTGGACTGGACTAAAAAAATCGTTTTTCATGGACTCGACTGGACTCAAAAATTTGAGTCCATACGGAGCTCTGCTCAGTACCGTCAGTATAAATGAATTGTATGCTTCATCTAACACCGGGGTGAAAAATGTATATTTAAACTTTATCATCATTCCCAGGATTGAATTAAATTTAGAAACAAAATAAGTTATATGATGTTTCCAGGATAATGATGAATTAAAATACACACCCAGATGCTTGTGTTCGTCAACACACTCAAGAGTATGAATTGCTAGTTGCAGTCTTTCCGACAATAGCTTTTTAGAAAAAGACATTGAGACACATCTAATAAAGTTTAATGATAAAAGCCATTGTAGGGATCACTGATATACTGTAGCAAGGTCATTAGTTAAAATATTGTTGATTTTTTCGATTAAGTAATATTCGAACCATCCGACCAGTTCGTAGCAAACTCCCTTTTCCTTAGTTTATATAGTAAGCCTTTATGCCAGACTTTGTCAAACGCCGTTTTAAAGTTAAGAAAAACAAACTCAATATTTTTATCAGAAGCTTGATCCTCATATATTGAGTGCACAAGCTCTACCAGTTGATGAACAGCTGAGTGTTTCTTTCGAAAACCAAACTGAAAAACTGATAGAAGTTTGTTCACTTAAATATTCATACAGTTTGTTATAAACAACTTTCTCGATGACCTTTGACAAAGCGGGTAATAATGTGATTGGACGATAGTTATTAGGCAACCTTCTAGTGACTAATTTGCGGTGCTTATTCTTTTGAGTAGCTATGAACCCTTTTTCGGTATAAAGAAAGTTTTCTAAATGAGCTTACAGATATATTTTTCTTTTTAAGACCATTCTCGTATTTAATTACAACAAAAAAGTCAATTACATTTTAGAAACAAGTGTTATTGTCATAAAATATCCAAATACGCGACCAGTATTCGTCCGAACATAACGCGCACTTTAAGACGGTACGAGAAACAGCACTAATACCTAAAAGAGAACCATCTGAATGAGTTTATAAGAATGGAGAAATAAACTTACCGAAAACAATTCAGCAAAAATTTACATAAATGTACACACTGAAATTCGTATAAAGTAAGTTGTAGGACTGATAAAAACAATATATCAGGGCTTATATTTGACGACCTATAAAGAAGTCAAACCTTTGTGAATTTCATCTCTGTATAACAATGTGTCTCCACCTTCTTTCTTTGGATGATTGATTAACTAGTTTACCTTTAAAATAATAGACTATTGACATCAAAATCGCTGCGTGGAAAGAGAAAGTGGGGTGATATGCTTTCTCCACGACTGTATGTTTGTACTTCATCATAGAGACCCGTACTGATATTTGGTTGACGATGTACATGAATAACATGCGAATTTAAATCGACAATCCAAAATTCTTTAATGTTACAATCAGCATATATGGGAACCTTCCGATCAAGGGCCTTTTTTAATGAAGTTAATGAAACCTCAATTAAGAGACGCACTTTGTCATACTGTGGATGTCCAACAGTATTTACGTCATCGTACTCAACGACTACGACATCCGGTTCTAAAACATTCTCTTTGCAAATTATTGGGTCCTCTTTCATTATGGTATATTGTTCGTCGAATGATTTGGACAATAGGCGAAAAATTTTACGAGTTGTTCGTGCATGAATATCGGATTGCATGTCTTTTTGATAAAAAGTACCGCAAATATAGTCTCCTTTGCCTACAACGAAATGACAACATGTATTTGAGCAAGTGGTAGATTCATACCGAACGCAAAACAAAACGCAGGACATTTACCAAACAGAAATTCACGTTCCATACATTTAGAACTCTGATCAGTACTGGCATGACCGGGGAGGGAGACCTCCCATACTTTTCAAAAAATTTTGACGGATTTACTCCGATAATTGTTCAAAAATTTCTCTTCCTTTTTACTTCGAATTATTATTTATTACGACGTTTCGAAGGTTACTACCTTCTTCATCAGGTTTTAAAAATAGAACTAATTTTTAAGAATAAGAACATTTATATATGTATGTACAAAAGTCAATTTTTCCTTTTTCTCTTCTTATGTTCTTTAATAGTGGCACGGACGACAACAGGACGGTAACACTGGAACAGAAACGAAACTATATTACATAGTCTCTTTTTCGTCCGTTCCACTATTACCGTCCCATAGTGCTAATCCTTATAATCTATTTGGTCTTTTTAACTTCAGTTCTCTTCTTAATTTGTTCTCTGTTTTTGTGTAACACTGGTAACCATGATTGATCGATATCATAATGTCTATTTATTGATTGATTTACTATAGAATAAATTGCTTCTTTTGCCCTTCTCTTAAATACATTAGTTTCAGTGTCGATAATAAAGGCCTTTCTCGTATCGAATTTACACTTATATCTTCTTGAATGAATGTGTTGCACAATTTCAGAATTT